TTCATTAGCCGATACTATCAGAGTTTCTCTGGCCGTTTTCGCATGCAAACACAGTGCCATCGGGCACCGGAATAGCCTTGTGCCCACATGTCGTTCATTAACAATGACACCTCCGGCCTGTTGTAACCTCATTGCGACTTAATAGGAGAGGTCTTTCTAGTTGTACTACAATGCACTTTTGCCAGAGTCTGATAACATTGTTACCCTTATTCCCAGGCTATCGTTCTCTGAAGATGGGACTCCATTGTCCCAGGCCCGCAAAACAAGGGTCTATTTTCCTTAGCGCGGCTTTTCCCGCCGCAACACCCCACACCTAATGAAAAGCTCGCGGCGAATCACGGAAGTGCGAGTGTATTGGTATGACTCTAAACGGGTAAACATTGAAGGCATTATGGGGGAATAACTACTTGAGTGTTGTTTTTTTTTTATTGTTATCTCCTCATGCAGCCCAACATATTCTCCTAAATAAAGTGCAATACCCGATTATTTATTCGTAACAATGGAAATTGGGTAGATTGTTTCTTCCCTTATCATGTATATAGTGACAGCGTAATTATATTATTACGGAACGAGTACTACGTAATTTTCTAAAAAATGTTAACCATTGAATAGCTAGCGTTTAGAATTTTGTTTTTGTCCTCATTAAAGTGGAAATGGGCTTATGATATTTAGGTCGCATTAATTCTATAAAATCAAGTGGTCTGTCTGATAAATGCAGATGTGCATTGAAAAGTAATTGTTCATGGTCTGTTCCACTGTTTAACCAGAGTGATCATGACTAATTAGCGAGGTCTTATAAAAAAATAAGTACAAACAGTAGTACATATCTAGCAAGTATGGCCAGTGATTTTTCCTTCTAGTCTGTTACATAACTAGGTTTGCTTAATTTAACCTCGTCGGTTTTACTTAGCGTTTGCACCGGAGCAGCTCGTATTTATTTTTCGCGGCTGCCTCGCTATAATACACCTCAACATTATATTTAGCGATGTGTCCATACAATCGTGGACAATCACAATAATCCCGGAAAAAAACAATAGATATTCTAAGGATAGATCGCGACCGCGTTGGAAATCCCCTCGTCTCTGAAATGAAAAGATGTACATTATTAATTTACGAACGATTTTCTTTCTTTCTTTCTTTCTTTCTTACGGATCAACTTCGTCAAGAAAGAAATGGGGCACCGACGAAGGAACAGGAGCGGAGCATTATATTTCTGCCTACTTCAACCTTTATGATAACGGTTTAAGTTAGATTAGACAATGACACACACTTTAAGTGCTCCAGCAATAATTTCACTAATAATAATAACGTGTGTCTTTCCATGTCAGAGGACATGCAGTGCATCTCTGCGCATGGTATCTATATATACACACCACAATTTGCGTTACCCCTCTGCGAGTATATTTTTGGTTCAAGGTTTCCTTTCTTATAGGAGCTGGTTAGCAGCGTCATATGATTACTCGAACTTGCTGTTTCCTTTGGCTATCAAGGGACCATCAGGCCGCAGCCGGAACGGGATTTTGTTGGCTCGGAAAGAGGATTGCCGCCATTGATGATGACAAACAGAAAACGTCAGTTAAATGCGCATGGATGTCGAATGCTGATATTGTCGATTCGAGGCCTCAGCAGTCACTCCGTCAAGATACCAGAGCAGGAGGAAATTGGCTAGAGTAGTAATGGTGGTACTCACGATAGATTCGATCACTGAGACAACGACGTTGAAGCTGGCATTAACTAAAGCAGCACGGGTATTATCGACGATAATTTTTCGAAGTTGTTCAGAGTGTTCATAAGCTTTATACAGGTGACAACTCTTCTGTGGTGAATACCGAACACATTCAAGCCATCAAACGACGACGTTAATACAACTAAGTCAACGAGAAGACCTAGAATATCAGCGGCATCGCATTTCTTCGTGATGGATTTATTGTCCACCGGTGGATGCGATGCTGTGATGCTCTCAAACTTGCTAATTTTCCATATAGCTAAATTAAGAAAAGACATCGTAATGGCCAGAATGGAAATGAAGCGTGACCAAGAATTGCAAGCAAGCCATTTGATGAAAGCTCTGCAGTGGTTGCAAAGACAAAAAAACAAGGCTCATTGATATTTATACTAGGCTTTCGGTTAAACTGTTACACCTGCAAAACGGTCTAGGCTGCTCTCTCAGTTATTAACGGATAGGCTAGTGGCCACTGCAATCATAGAACTCGTGGACGCGTTTCGAGCCCAGAGGCCTTTTACCATCAGTATTCCACCGGCTTTTTTAGAAATTTGTTATTCTGTGCTTGCAGTTACCAAACGTGCGCCTGTTAGAACAACACTGAGTATGTCTGTTAGATCTATTAGACTGTTAGAAGCAAATCTGGCGGACTAACAAAAAAGTTTTTGCTTACGCGCCACACTAGCAGACCAAATTTAGCTCCCAAATGCTCTAGTCTTCTAGGAACTTGTGAGTGAAAACCATTCCAAGAAAAATATGTCAGGAAGAAGAAATACCTTTCTGTCCCGAAAATCAACGTTGAATTTTCGTCCGTTGTGTGGAAATTTATCGGAGATTGATGAAGGCATTAAACAATGACATCTTAAGCAGGAGCATAGCGCTTGAATGGCGCAGACATTTCAAGATTGGATATTGAAGTGTTGCAGACCAGCGAGGGTATCACTAGCTCGAAGGACAAGAGCGCACTGCCGCAAGCGCGGAGACGCCTCATGGAAGCAGAGCTTGGAGTTTAAGCACCCTGTCATCCAAAACTAGTACCTCACATATAGCGTGAATTATAGTTTAAATATCCCAAACGTAGGAATTAAGTGAAAAAAAACTTGTTGGAAATATGTAAGGTGTATTCTGCGCGCAATTTGTGTGACCTTAATAAAAAAGAAAGAGGCCCGCCGGAAGCACCATGGATGAGACCTGACATAGTCTCCACCGCCAGCCATGGAGCACCAGGTGGGTCGCCTGTTGGTTAAATGCAGTCCGCTATTTCGAGATTGTTAAGAGACCCGTACACTGTCGCCACAGCAATCGAAAACCCGCAGTGTACTTAGTCGACTATGAGGCGTGGCGAGACCATATCGCCACACCTCAATGATTTCCTCAATTGCGTAAAGGAATATCCAACGTTGGCGGTAATACGTTTATTTTTCTCATCTATGTTCGTGTGATTATGGGGCTTTGCATATCCTACAAAGAACAACTCGTGACAACCATATCCGGCTATCGATTTACTTTGAGAAATCACAAATAGAGAAATTACATATTGGAACGAAAAGGGTGTGTGTATAAGTAAGTTGTGAGAAGTTGCCAGAGCGCTAGGACAAATGTGTAAAAAATAGAGGAGAGTTACTTAGCAGCCGTTAAATCATCATTCTGGCTTGAGCACTCCAAAAGTTTTCAATCTCAAAGTCCACCGGATTCCCTTGGAACAGCCTAGCACGTCAGATTGTCAAAGCCCATTTAAGTCCAGAAATATACCATGGCTCTCTCTCGTACGCCCTACCAAACAGAACATACGAAAAGATCTTCCCATCCTACTCGACGACGTTTCGTTTGTTATCAGAAAAAAAAACGTTACTTCTGTATGTATAATTAGTATGGCCTCCTTGTAAAAAAAATCGAACGCTTTCCACTCATTCAGTTTGACTTGAGATGGACATAAAAAAAAATAACTGTCGATTGTGCCTGACTGTGATGCACGGTCTTTTACGATATCGGAAAGCATGAAAATCACTCTTAATATTAATAAATAGATAGGGCAAGTTGTGCGCCTCATCCAAGAAAATAATATTTAATTCTCTTAATAAAAACAAGTTGATATTTGAAGGCTGTTGGAACAGTCGAATGATATCCCAACAAGAAACTTATCTAGCTGCTAGTCGATCTACCTTCAAGAGGAAGTCTCGTGCATACGCTGAACAGCCCAACAGAAGTTCTAGTCACGACATACGCAAGTTGCAAATTCGCATACATAGTAAGTTATGATGGGTGAATCAAACACGATCGCGTTATTACTATATTATTACTAGTAACAAACGGGTCATCTTTTCAAATGCCTTATAGTAAAGCTGTAAAAAACAAGGAGAGTTAACAGAACTTTTCCACCATTTGTGTCCACAGAAGCACACTACTTTATGGTCTTCCACAGTCATAGTATCGATCGCTGTCAACACCTGTCTTGCCTAGTTCAACATAATCGAAAATTGGTAGCAACACAAAAAAATTGTAGCGGTTGAATGCAATAACTATAGTAATAATGAGAATGTTGCTTGCACTGTACGTGTGGTGCGTATGTAGAAATATTAAAACGTGTGTAGTACTCAAAAAGTTCTACACATTAACAAATATAGGCGTATCATCATAATGATGAAGAATCAATTACGACAGAATAGCTATTGCACTCCTAATAGTTTTAATAGGCGTCATTTCCATCGTAGCGGCACATATTACAGCCGCATTCGCATGTCTATCACGGCGGTCCTGATTCCTATTTTCTCTTTCTGGAGGTCCACTCCGCGTGGAGGTAAGAGTTTGCTATCTGGCTGGGTGCTGGGATGTACACTAATGAGTGTCAATGGTACGCCCTGACAGCTCCTGACCAACCAGTCAACGGTGTTGCCATCGGTTCGGAGCCGCCAAAGTAGATGATGTCGCTATTTCCGACAGCGAGCGGTAAAGAAGAACATCCGAAGATCGTTTGTAAGGACGGAGTTTGTGGTAATAATTTAGTCGGGGACCCATACTTGGTATAGGCGAACAAAGGGATGTTGTTGATTCCCGTACGAACGGTAACAACGCACACTACAAATTTTGTTTGAATAAAAAAAGTTTATCATATTAACAACCTGCGGCCGATAGATATTTCTCGTGGATAAGCGCTAAGGTAATATGTCTATCGTTAGATATACTTATATGTAGCTACTTAAAAGAAAACGTTTGTTGACAGATAAGAATTTACCACCGATTATGTACGTTTGTTCATCACACTTGTGTATGATGCCAGGTGACATCGACCCGTACCTGTAGAAGCTGCCGAAGCTTCGCGTATCAACACAGACTGCTTATTCGGTAGTTCTCCCTAGTGCCGGACATGTTAATTTTATTAAACGCTTAAGCGACGACCGAACGTCGACTGACGAAAATCATTAAAGAGATCGCATACAGGTATGCCTAAATCACGGCGTAAAGTAGAGCTACATAATAGTTTAATACAAAAAAAGGATCTTCTTCGTAAACCATAAGAAATTAAGTGATTTTTATTTTCTGAGCGCATAGAAACCGAATCCATCTTTCAACGCATTGCTAACTCAAAAGTTTAATACCCAACAGCGAACGCAATAGCTTTGTACAAGCATGTGATGTAACAAATCATTTGTACATGCAACATTTATCCAGCAGGCTCAGAAATTTGATTATTCTTTTTTAGCGTGCTTAGTAAAGGTATGGCGTTGCATCAGTTGTTTATAGAACTTTACTGGCTAAGGGACGATGACGACATGCAGCCTGGCTTGTGTTCACTAGCGCGTCCCTGAAGTTCCTAATTAAACACGGCGAAATCATTCCCTTGTAGGCTAAGAAGATCAATGGGAGCCAAAAGCAAACCCGCATCTTAGCCTTTCCCTAATTACGCCGCCTGCACTGAGGCCCATACGGATTCAACGTCCTATTCTAGCAAAAAAACTTTCTCTCCACTTTAAGCCTCGATCATTACACGCACGCAATACGATTCGTACGTAATAGCTACGGTGCTTACAGAATAAGAGGCAGTTCTGTACAACGCGGTTTATGTTTCCCCTCAGGAACCACCAGTGCGCCACTGCCATATAGCATTGCTCCAACCAACACGTCTTACCGGGCCGAAGATTCACTCTGAAGATGGAAGAGCAAACAACTTACAATCAGACTTCGCTATGAAGGGTGCGCACCAGTCAACGAATGTCTTAACAGCAGTCGTTCCCGAAGCAAATGGCATCGGTGGGTAACTGCGTGTAAGAAGTCGGGTGAGAAAAACAGCAACAGCTTGCCGAATGCCCCTGGTAGGTGGCAAGCATGTCCCGCATGGGCTAAACGCCTCTAAGTTGCGAGGAGAACCATTTCGCTGCTATTAGATGGGGCGGGCGATGCATCAGCACTTTGCGACAAAAGATTTTGTATTCTGCATAGCGATTATTTTCGTTGCCTTGAGACGTCCGTCCGTATAAACTCCATTGATTCTGATAGGATCCATAAGAATATATAAGGAAGAGCTTTAAGTGCGTATTGCGTGCGTTTATTGTAAATCGAAAGCGATGCATGAGAATGGTGGTTATCTCTGAGTATCGTCGACGTTATTGGTGTCAGTAATTAGATGACGACTCGGGCTGGCGGTGTTTGTGCGCTTGACAAATCTAAGGACAACGCTGTTCCACTAAACAGACGAGAGAGGAATCAAACAAGCCTTACACACTTCATCACCGTATGGATACTGATCTGGTGCTACTACTAGATTTATTAACGTTGCTGCGAAACTGTAAGTATCTCATTTTGATTAAAAAAATCGTGTCTGGATGCGAAGAGAAAGAATCGCGAACTGAAACTATTTCGTAGAACACAAAGGAAATATAGTTAAAGCTGCTTTCATCGTTACGCAGTCATCAAGCAAGTTACTTTAATCTAAACAGCTGACTCAATTAACTTATATGGAAAAAGTTAAGTGTTTGCATACAGAGCTAGTCTGGGTAAGCTGCACACAGAAGTCGGCTGCTTAAGCCATTGTAACTACGGTCTAATATCTACGGGTACTTGATTCGGTCACATTATGTTGTCCGGTGCATGCCATTGGCAAAACAGAGCCCATAACCCGCCGCCCCTTCTTTATTTAATCGGTCTCGCTGGGCCCTATATAAACACGTGTCTCCGGTGCCTGAAAACGGAAGAGGAAAATGTTAATTCTAACAGTCCAGCCAAGCGGATCGCACAAAGCTGAATATATAT